TTGCGATGACGTGAACATAGTATTGTTACGTCGGTTTAAAGCTGCATATTTCAAGGACTTATAACGAGAGCAGTATTTATAGTCCGATCTGGTTCAGAATTTTTATGCTAATAGGCATCAAAGTTGCACTTTCAGGGTGTTATATATTGACAACTAGCACAGGTATGTCATGAATAAATGGATCACTTCTTGTAAAATATGGAGGAATGACATAAAACCCATCTTCCAGATTTACCGCAAAGTATTAGTTTGTATGAAAAATAAACGTTGGAAGGACGGAAACCACAGAGTTTGTTTGCTTTTTTGAAAAAGAATTTTTTGTAACACAATAATTATTAGTTTTGACTACCTAAAGGCGTCAAGGAAGACGCCACGTATATAATCTTGCAAGTAAAATCCACACAGATGTCGCTCAAAACATTGCATTTATGCTGAAAAATGACGTGAACTCGCAAAGTTTTTAAGTATTTTTCATTTTACAAAGATCAGGGCAAAATTATTGATGGGGCACATGCTGTGGTTAATTCATACAATTTGTGGCATACATCAAGTTTACGGTGTTCTCAGTGACAACAAAACTGGTACCCAAAACTCCCGACTCGAGCACTTTCTCTAGACATTGGTATTAAATTACATAGCTTGTCATGGAAAAACAGCTTGCAGTGCTCTCTGTGACAACGCAAATGAGGAATTACAGAAAACTTACAGTGTGTTGAGACTGTAGAGCCCACTGAAGGCATTCGATTCTAAGGTGCCGATGCTTACACTTTTCATTCTCCTGGCAAATGAAAGGAAGTACACAAATGATATATTTAAAATTGGAAAGAAAGAATCATTTTATAAATTGATCAAATACTTAATTAACATTCAATCAAGTAATATAGCCGGTGGTACCTATGCCACCAATGTGGCATAGGTACGGATGCATATATCTTAATGAATTTCACTACAGGCTTATGTGCGTGAACTTTTCAGGGCACATTTTCTAGTTTTTCCCAAAACAAAACACAGGTGCCTTGATTAAACGGGCCACCCCCTTTTCGAAGAGAGGGGAAAGATGCATGCTCAATGAACTGGATTTGCGAGTGTATTTGAGAAATTAATCGTTGGAGAGAAGAAACACTGTAACATTTATGTCGACGAAAAATTTCGTATCGATATTGGTATTGACTTCAACTTTGCGGAAAATACGAGAATATTGAACACAATGGCATTTGCTTTTGAACGCTTTTAAACAACAAGCTTTAGATGCAAGAGGAAAGTTCCATTTAACTTGGAGCTGATCAGGGGCTTCAATATTAATTGGTGATTTAACGAGAATAATCTCCTAAATTATTAGTAAAGAGGCATCGTGTTGTGTCTATGGGGCATACAATGTCGTATCTCAGCCTGCAGGTTATGATGTTTGACCGGAATATGCATAGCGCGCCGTTTATGCTAATTGTGGTTCCATTAAAAAACCTCATTGACTGAAACTCGATGAATATACCAAAGATCAGAGAGAAAAAAATGATTTTAAATATGTTATCTACCACAAGTTACATTTCCCTGTATAGAGTAATTCAGCAAAACAGAATTACTGTAAGGACACGTTTTTATCAAAAGTACTCCAAACCGAGATAGGACTTTTTGAACTGAAAAAACGATTGGCTTGTTGTGGAAAGAAGCACACACTTATCTTCTCTCCGACAAAAAATGACAAAATACCTTAAAAAAATCGCAGAGAACTTACATTACGTAGAGATAAGACATCCCACTGAACGCATTGGACTCAATGTTACCGATGGTAACGTTTGTCAGGTACCTGTCAAATTAAGGGGTAACAACATCATTGAAAATTAGTGAAAAAGGTATCACGTGCAAAGTTGGAAAGCAAATTGATAATTTGCAGGCCATTTCCCGTAGAGAAATAATATGCAGATAACTACGAAGCCCTTCCTCTTGGAAAAAAATAGAGCGGAAATGAGCACCTTTAAACAAAATTATGGAAAGAGAAAGCCACTTCCGTTGCGCTGTGATGGCACAACTTGGTATCGAAAGGCGCGTCGAAGGGCTGAGGCTCCAGGCTAAGTATCTTAAGACAGGGCTGGGCCTCAGCAATTAAACATATTTTTTTTGTATACGGGATGCATTGTCGGATCGGTTTTTAAATTTGTATGCCTTTTTTATTTGTCTGTATCTAATCTAGAAATGCTCACAACTCCCGTTCCGTTTTCAAAACACAAAAAGTGATGAATTCCTCTTCGTTACTTCCCATTTACACGGGCCAGTATTATTGCACTCAAGCTCCCTTTTGGTTCGAAGAAATAGATTCACGATTGATATGCCAGGGTCTCCCAACACAAGTTTCCTTGCGTAAAGATCTCGAATGCACCAGGGAATGTAAATAACATTTCTAACAATATTAATATAGAAGTCATCAGTGACACCAAATGTATATGTTAACAGCAATTCCTTGTGACTTAAATGACATTTGGATTAGCAAAATACACAGACAGATCCACAATGTATGAGTGCCAGGGAAGGGCAAGCCAAAGGCCTTTAATTGCTTCTGGAATAGGACCAGAACCAACATTTTGTCTTAAAATAACGCATGGTA